AGGATATATTAGACACCGACCTAATCAGCCTCAGACAATGGGAAGCCCCTTCCAGACCCCGCAGCTAAATCCTAATGCAGACATCTTCAGTCCTGCTAGAAGTGAAATTCCACACACGAGTGTTAGCAATAGGGGTGAACTAGTACGAAGGAAGCCACGGGAATTCAATGGAAAGGCACCCTGGAAAGCATATAGATCACAGTTTGAGCTCCTGGTAGAAATGAAGGGGTGGACAGAGGAGCAGAAAGCAGTATATCTGGCAATGAGCCTAAAGGGACAAACATTGGAAATACTTGGACAGTTGTCGGCAGATGACAGGCACAACTATAGAGCACTATCAGTCCAAAGTCTACAGGGCTAGGTTTAGGACGAGCGTCCGTGCTAAAGGGGAGAGCCTGCAAGAGCTGACACAGGACTTGGAAAGTATGGCACACAAGGCCTACCCAACTGCACCACCCGATGTTCTCAAGTTGTTGCTGAGGGATCAGTTTGTAGATGCCTTGGACAGTCCACAACTAAAGATACAAGTAAAGCAAGCACACCCGTCTACTATGCAGGATGCAATAGCCAGAGCTCTTGAATTTGAATCCTACATTAAGTCCAGCACAGAGGTACCAAGGTTTGTACAGTCATCAGGATTCAAGGCCAGAAAAGGTCAGCTTTCAGAGAAGTTTGAGGGACTTTGCTGGTACTGTAATAGACTTGGGTACAAGAGAGCTCATTGCTGGCAACTTCAACACAAGGGAGATGCCACAGCAGGAAAGGCTGCTCCCCAGAAAGGTTGTTGGAACTGTGGAGAGCAAGGACATATTAGGAGCCAGTGTAAGAAGAATACTACCAATAAGTCAGCTTCGGGAAACCAGTAGTGCTTGGTGCTGAGGGACGCCCACCAACCCCCATCGTGAAAGTCCCAACATCTAAGTGTAAAATGCCAAGCACACATAGTGTCTACGTGACAGGAAAGCTGGATGGCAAAAGGTGCAACTTTGTCATAGATTCTGCATCTCAGCAAACACTCGTGAGTATCAAGATGTTAGATCACAGAGGAGTATCAGAAGCTGTACAGAAGCTCTGTGGTGTGACAGGACATTATGCAAGGTTGTGGGGACCAGTGTGGGTAACTATTGAGCTCATAGGCATGAAGGACAGACACATAGTATACTTGGCTGACATTGAAGACCAACGCATATTAAGCTTGGACTATTTACTACCAAGGAAGTTTGTAATTAATTTTGATAAAATGACGTTTGGGAACAACAAAGGTCAAATTCCAGTAACTGTTAAAAGAGAGGATGAACTAAGTAGGTGTCATCAAGCTGAAGTCAAAGTGACTG